AGTTTGGACTTATCCAGCTGCGTCTGGCTTAGGTCTGTCTGCTGTGCTCAGCTCCTTCCCGCTGTGTACCTGGGCTAGGACTGGGTCTGGGCGTCCCCGGAATTCGGCAGAAATTCCAGACCTGGGCTAGGACTGGGTCTCTGTCATTCTGTTTCTTAAACATTAGGCTTATCAAAAAAAAAAAAAAAAAAAATTCTGTACTTGTCTCCAGTTTCTTTCCTTATCAGACTACTTTTCCAGTGATCTCCTGTGACTAACTGGTTACCCTAACAAATATATTCTTCTGTTGTTTTCTTTACTTCCTTGAACATTTAGTAATGTATATAAATATGTATGTGTGCATATTTATATACTTAGTATTCTGTCTTATCACATTTGTTTCAGTTTTTATTCCTCATTCTTTCCTCCTTCAATACCTCAGATGTTATTGTATTAAAATACAATGACACACACATGGTAGAGGTCAACTCTGTAACTTCTTTCTCAGGCACCATTTCTAAGGTCTGTCTTTCCATCCCCTTGTGTGTTAGAAATGGAAGATATAAAGGCAAGCAAGCCTCCATCTTTGCTTTCAAGAAGCTAAAAAGAAAGACAGGTGAAGCAACTGTAATATCACGATGCTTACTTCAGATGGTTATTTTAGGATTCTTATATAAGAACACCTTCTGCATTACATAACATTAATAGATTTGTAATTTGATTAAATTAAAAAAAATTTGGAAGAGTGTTTTTTTTATAGTTACCTCTGTCAGCATTGTGCTGACATAATTTACACAACTATGTTGCTATCTGAATTCCACACTAGCCTTAACATATCTGTATCTTCAATTCTCACAATTTCTTCACCTATAAACATATAGTCATTATTTCTTATCACAGAATTTCTGTGAAGACTAGACAGTGATACAAAATTATAGTTAATATTTCTATTTGTATAAAATTCACATAAATATAAAATTATATTTAGGCATGAACTCATTTAATATTTAATGAACTGTTTTTGAAATGAATAAAAATTTCCTCTTTTTTGACACTGTTGCATTCATAATTAATTTGCCAGAGTCTAGTTTAAGTAATTAAGAGAGAATGCTTGGGGCTGGGGAGATAGCTCAGCAGTCTAAGCGCCTGCCTGGCAAGCACAAGGACCAGGATTCCATCCCAATACTGCATGCCATGGTGTCCCTGCGCCATGCCGCCCCCAAAACTGGAAGTGGTGGTACACACCTGTAATCCCACCTCTGTGAAAGCTTAGACTAAAGTATCTCTGTAAGTCTGATCTATGTAGTGAGACCTTGAATCAAATGAGTTAAAAAAAGATTTGAAAAATTTTTTTGAAGAGTGTTTGTTTTTATAGTTATCTCTGTCAGAATGCTATTGGCTTCAAGAATGGAAAATTTTCTCCTACAGCCTAATATAACCACAGTAATGTATTACCTTGTATAATAAAAGGTCCACAGGTAGAATTTTTTTTCAATTATTTAAAAAAAAATGAAGTGAAAGAGAGGGCAAGTGGGGAGGAAAGGATAGAGGGCAGGGGGATAGAGGGGGCAGAGACAGAGAGATGGAGAGACAGAAAAATATGAATTAAAATGGGCAAACCAAATAGGGTATCTCCCTACTAGAATGTTTTTTGATGACTAAAAAGGACAGTATCCTACTGATGTATGCCAAAATATGAATGAACTATAAAAATATTGCAATGAGCTAAAGAACCACGCACAAAATTTTGCATATTATTTGATTGATTTATGACAAACATCCTACATTGGCTAATTTGTATTTATTAGTAGCTGGTATTGAATTCTTGGGTTGGACAATAATACTTTATGAATTATGATTATGGCCATATAAGTTTGTGAATATGGAATATGTTAAAACCATTGAACTGTATACTTCAATTGAGTAAAATCATTTTGTAAATTACAAGTCAATAAGTTTTTAGGGAAAGAGGAATAGGTTTTGAGTTTGTAAAGAACACAATCTCTTAAGCTATAATATTAATGGTACTCAAAGAGGAAAGTGATCGATGATGTAGAGTGTGCCTAAGAAGAGTCACATGGAGAGAAAACACTCTCTCAGGCTTTCACAGAGAGCACATTGGCCAAGCAATGGCTGTGACTCATCCACATGGCTGACACTGACAAAGGTTCTACAATCTGAGGTGTAGGATCTCAGGATAAATCCTGACAGGATTTCACTGACCTTCTCAGACCCAAAAGCTACAAGTCTTGGTGCACAGGTCCTGCTTTACCTTGGTCTTAACCATCCAGTAGAAAAGTATGAAGACGAAATATAGGAAGTAAAACCATGCTGTTATGTTGAGCTGTGGGGGACTCGGATCAATAATTTCTGACATTGCCAATTAAACAGAGGACCCAATGCTATTATGGTCTACTGGACCCTTTTGGAATGTTTTGCTGAGTTTACACACCTATAATATTCAATAACGGAACTTAGAAAAAATAGGGTATACAGATGAATGTCCATTTTGTATCTGTGTATTCAGGGTGGTTAGGATAGATATATAGTTGCATTCTCTTAATGATTAGAATGATTTTTTCTAATGGTGTTTGTAAATAGGACCTCAAGTCTGCATCTTGTACAGCAATTAACCACTAAGAAGAATATATGCAGTGTGTTATTTGTTGAAACTATACTTCCGATTTGATTTGAAACTGTCTCATTGCTATCTGTTTATCAATAAAATTTTCAAAAAAAGATATTAATGGTACTTGGATGCTGTTTTTCTAGGTACATGGAACCACAGGAGAACCCTGGTGGATTTGGGTAGAAGATCCTACAAATGATCATATTTATCATTCAGAGTATTTTCTTGCTCTTAAAAAACAGGTAAAAAATTATGTGTGGATATAGCCTTCTCATTTTGCTATCACAGGAAAAAATAAATATTTTCTGGTTTTTACTTTTTTTCTCTGATCATAGTAGTATTAAAATTCACTTATTAGATGTTAAGTTTCTGTTTGGTTTTAAAGGAACACAGTGATTACATGTTATAATACTGATAATGCAATATAATCATAGATTAAGAAATTCAGTTGTAATCTTTGCATGGATTAAAGCATGGCTTCCCAAGGTGTGGAATTTGTAGAATAGGTAAGATAAATATTATATGCACACAGTACCGCACTGTTGAATCATATAAAAAGACCATTCCTCTTAAATTCTCTAAGTCATGAGAGAATGATTCGGGTTTTTTGCTATTTCTTTAACAGAAACTTCATTTGTGGTTTGTTTCTCATAGAGCAAAAAAGCTTTAAGCTAAAAGTCTTGGTGGGCAGCAATAAAATTTTATAGCAGTATTTTATTTTCATGGCATTTATCTTTAGAATAAGTATTTATTTATACCTACTTTTTGTGATATTGCTCTTAAAGTACTGGTGGAACTTAAAGAAGAATACTGAGTAGCAATTATGGTAACTGCAATTGTAAAAACTGTAGAGTAATTAAATGAATGACTTTTAGGAAATTCTGTTAATGAGTCAAACTGATATCTTGTTAATACATGATAATGTACACATGTAAACCAGATTAAGTATAAATTTTACCTTCACAGTTGTTAAAGGTATCCTCTGAGGGAAACCACTTTCAAGTTTCTGGAGTAACTCGGTATCTTGTATACTAAGAAATGCAAGATACTTTATTTTTATTTTTGATGTATCTTGTACAGATACTATTGTCAGTAAAACACTAAAATGTTTATAATATCAGAATAACTATATTTATTTAAGATTTTGTTTCACATTAGGTCATAAATAAAGAAGCCCAACTACTAGTGTTTACAATCCCTATCTTTGAGCCGCTGCCCTCCCAATACTACATCCGAGCAGTGTCTGATAGATGGTTAGGAGCTGAGGCTGTGTGTATTATCAACTTTCAACATCTGATTCTACCAGAAAGACATCCTCCCCATACAGGTAACATATTAAGCTAATTTGAGTCATTGGCTCAACAGAGTTGTGGTTTTAATTAATGTTCAAAAGTATCTATCTGGGGCTGGGGAAATAGCTCAGTAGAATAAGCACTTGCCTGGCAAGTGTAGGGTCCTGAGTTCAATCCCCAATACCACAAAAAAAAAAAAAGTACCCTATAAAATTGTTTCATGCCAAATCAAAATCTAACCGGTTTTAAAATATAGTTTGAAAACAGAGTTTTCAAAGTCAAATATGTACAGTTTGTTGAACTTCATTGTGGACCTTAATTTTTATTGAGTTTTAAGTATAGCCTTAGACCAGTTATAATAATTTTAATCAGAATGAGACTTAACTTTATTCCTGTATTTTATCTTTTTTATACATAATCATTATTTCTTTACATTGCCTTCCTCTTAGTGTCACTGTTTTTGTGCTTTCTAAGTTAACTGTTTGTGACAGCCTCTTTCTTTGAATTTCTTTTAGCTTATTCTACATTATGGGAAAAAGTCAAATTTTCTTTTCCATGTAATTCTTCCAGTATACATTTAGAGTCACTTATCTAAAATGGCTAAAACTCTTAGAATTTCAGCTTCAGATTTTATAATATTTATGTATACATACAAAATGAGATATCTTGAAGATAGGACCAGAGTCCAAACACAAAATTTATTTACATTTATGTATATCTTATACACCTAACCAAATGTAATTCTATGCAATATTTTTAGTGTGTCTTTTTGTTGACAATAATATGTCACATTGATCAGGTGTACAATTTTCTCTTTCTAGGTTCATGTTGCACTGAAAAATTTGGGTTTTGGATTTTAGAATTAGAGATACACAGCCTATATGTTAAATAAACCTGTTAATGATTGGATTTTGTATTTCCCATTTGTTGAAATTTTATATTTAAAAATACTAATACCAAGAAGTATATTGTAGCACTAGAATGAATTGTATATTCTTGAGTTACTGTGTATTGCCAATAATATATAACCTTCACAGTTATTCTGTTCTTCCTTCTGACCTTAAACAGGCACATGGCAGTGACAGGTAAATAATTTTCATCTATAGCCTGATCTTGCCAATCTCATCAGTATTTTTCACCGTTAAAACTTGCACAATTTTGGATAGATAGCTCGACGGCCTAAGTGCCTGCCTGTCAAATGCAAGAACCTGGGTTCAATTCCAGGCACTTAATTCCGTGCTGGTCTCTGAACTGAGGGTGTGCCGTGCCAGCTACCAAAACCGGGCATGGTGGCACATACCTGTAATCCCAGAGCTGGGGAAGCCAAGACAGGAGAATCACTACAAGGTCTGAGCTGCCTAGCAAGACACTGTACCTAATTAATTAATTAATTAAAAATTTTTAAACTTATAAAAGTTTTGTTTCATTTTTCAATATGAAGTGCCCTTCTGTTTTGATTTGTTAAAGAAGCAAAATTTCTGGAATAAGTCTTTATTAAAGTCAAATTTTATTTTTTATATACACAATTCTCCCAAAGATACACCTTCTTTTTTTTTTTTTTGTTTTTTGTTTTTTTCCCTGTATTTAGGACAGAGCCTACAGGGTCTCACTATGTAAATCGGACTCAAAGTAATTTTCCTGTTTTCATCCTCCCAAGTTCTGGGATTATAGGACCGTACTACCATGCCCAGTCTCTAAAGAATATTTATTTCATATAATTGGAGAGTATTCCCCCCTAACTTACAAAGACATGTTCTTTTTTTTTAACTTTTTTTTTTTTTTTTTTTTAGTAAGGGTCTACAGGGTGTCACTATGTAGATCAAACTCATAATGATCCACCTGTGTTCAACCTCCCAAGCACTGGGATTAGGCACACACCACCATGCCCAGTCTCAGTTGCCCTCTCAGCGCACAGGGATCGAACCCCAGCTGCTGCACTCTGCCTAAGCAGGCACTTTAGACCGCTGAGCTATTTTGCTGGCCCAAAATAGCTTTGTGACTCTGCAGGATAAAAACTGTTAAGTCTGACTACTTTAAATAAGCACAGTAGGGCTTGATGTGCTTTTAATCTTTGCCATTTCCATCAAGTTTGTTTTACCATAAGGAGAGGTTCTTTACACCAAACCTAAATTCCTCCTTAACATGTTTACAGAACAGAATGATAAGGATTACCAACATAGAAAGATAAGGAGACTGTTAGTACCTACTGATCTGCTCCTTGAAGATCCTCCTGGTCTTCTTTCATCAAATATACTTACCTATGATTTCTAGAATCTCATAATAAACAGACATATTTGATGTTTTCATTTAAAACATGCTTCCAACATGGCTTAATAGGCTTCTTTATACTTGTTTTTACATACATGTTCATTTAACCATTTCAATATTAAGAAAGCACGAATCATTTTAATTGCAAAATTACCTGATTTCCGATTGTTATATTTTATTTTATTTTATTTTTTGTATTTTAGGGAAGGGTCTGCAGGGTGTTCAGGGTCTCACTACTAGATCGACTCATAGTGATCGGCCTGTTTATAGCCTCCTAAGTACTGGAATTACAGGTGCACACCAACATGCCCACTCTCAATTGCTGTCTCAGTGTGCCTTGGGGTGGGGCTAGCAAGGCAGGCCCAGGGATCAAACCTCTGGCCCCTGACCCTGTTTGCAGGTGCTTTAATATGCTGAGCTGTATTTTAATTGCAAAATTACCTGATTTCCGATTGTTATATTTTATTTTATTTTATTTTTTGTATTTTAGGGAAGGGTCTGCAGGGTGGTTAAATCTTAAAAGGCAATGGATAGTACCATGATAGCTCACTTGGTAGTAGAATCTTTTACTGAAATAAAACATGTTTATTTTAATTTTTATAACTGTGTAATTGATAGTGTATAATACTTAATGTATTAGACTCATTGAAACTATCCCTGTGTTTTGATTAACATTACAACTCCTAAGTTGCAGTGCATCCCTACTATTGGTTTCTAGAGCCGCAGGAAATGTAAACAGTTGTAATCTGGCATCCTAAGCATTCAGTTAGCTACGAGCTACCCCTGTAGTAAAGTGCAGCAGTGGGGAAGGGCGATTTTTAAAATTAGCTTTTTTACTTTTTTCCAATACTGGGGGATGAGCCCAGAGCCTTCATACTGAGCTACTTTTTGTTTTGTTTTGTTTAGTTTTTTAAGACAAGATCTCACAAAACTGAGTTGCTCAGACACAGAATACTCAAAATAAGGTACCTCCTGCTCCAGCCTCACAGGATATTGGGATTACAGGCATGCTGTATCACACACAACTGCTTTTTTACTTTGAAGTACATTTTTTGAAGGAAGTTCACCTACTTTGCATCAAGAAACCGTAATGAGGGTTCACTGTCTGCTTCCTGATACTAATTATTTTCTTACTTAAACTTCATACTATATGCAGTAATGTTGAGAGTAAAGCTATTCTGTGATTTTTTTAACTGATAGCTTTCTAGATTATGGGGGAGCACAAGGTCTATCAGGTATTCAAGGATACAAATCTATAACTATCTCTTTAAATTATTTTAACTTTCTATTTCTTTAAGCTCCCAGTCTACGTAGTAAGAGACAATGAAATCTATTATTTTCATAGTTTTCTTCAGGCAGTTGTTTACTGCATCATGCTGTGCTTTAAAACCACCCAGGTTTCCTTCGGGAATAAGCCTAAATTCATTTCCATTTCCATTGGCTGAAGCAGCAGCTCCCCAAGTTGCTCAGGCTTGGTCAGTGTCTAACAAATCTAAAAAAATGTAATAACAATTCCAGTCCTGGTGTTTTCAAATTGTTTTCAGCGTTTTATAGATTAGAATAGATTTAATTTAGTTCCATATCATGTATAATTCTATATATTTGTTATTCAAGTTACATTCTTTACTGAAGGAGAAAGATTTAGTTGGTTTATAGAGAACTCTTCAGAAGAGTTTTCAGTATGTTAATTTGATAAATATGATGGGAGAATGAAAGATATATCACTGGTATATGAGAACTTATATTTAATTTTTCCCCTTCTGAAGAATTAAGAATTGTTATAAATACAGGATTTAGTATTATGCACTTTTTTCAGTTATTGTATCAGCAGTGCCATTTGGATCTTTTCAGAGTTACTGGATCTTCAGCCTTTACCCATCACAGCTTTGGGATGTAAAGCATATGAAGCCCTGTATAACTTCAGCCACTTTAACCCTGTGCAGACACAGATTTTTCATACACTATATCATACAGACTGCAATGTCCTGCTTGGAGCACCCACTGGGTCAGGAAAAACTGTTGCAGCTGAATTAGCCATTTTCAGAGTCTTCAACAAGTATCCTGCTTCAAAGGTTTGTTGAAAGAATTATATACTTATATCCAACTAGAAAAAGTAGTTCATGATCTCTAAACTAACCACTTACAAGTGCACTGGCAGAATGTAGTAAGTAGATCTGTTAAGTACTCTGAATGTTCCAGAAGGCCAGTCACATTAGAATAATTGCTGCAAGAAAATGTACATCAAACTTTGGAGTCCTTTAGTTGAATTTCTAATATATACAGTGGTGTTATTATAACAAATCTACAACTCCTAGATAATTTCTGAATTAACTTGCAGCCATTTTATAAGATGCATAATAATTCATAATCAAATCGTGTGGATATGAAGGAAATGCTAATACTTTAAAATACATAGTTTGATTATATATAGGAAATATAGGAGTAGGATTTATTCTATATTATCCTAGAAGCCTGTTATATTAACAGTAAATGACATTGCAAGTCAAGTAATTAGTAATTTTAAGCCCTCTTACATTAAAATACTAATATTTTGATAATGCTTTCTTTTTAATAAAAATTGTGTAAAGTTTATAATGTGCTATTTTAATAAATGTGTATTATGAAATAACTAGTCTGTATAGCTAGTCAATGCAGTTAACAAGTCCCTCTCTTCAGATGGTTTCTTTTTGTGATAAGAGCACTTAATATTTATTCTTTTAGTGAATCAAATATGTAAATAGTAATATTAACTGTAATCACTTCTTGTATGTTAGGTCACTAGAACTTGTTGATTCCATATAAAAGAAACATTAATCCCTTGCAGTATCTTCTCATCCTCCACTCTGTCCCCCCCCCCCCGTAGCCATTACTCTCATTATTCCATAAATCTGACATGTTTTTCTCTCTGTGTCTGTTTATTTCACTTAGCAAAATGTGTGCTATTGGCAGGATTTTTTTGTTGTTGTTGTATAACTAAAGTGTGTTTCTGTGTGTGTGTGTGTGTGTGTGTGTGTGTGTCCATATTAATAGATTTGAAGTGACCTCCGTGTGATTTTGATTTGCATTTCTTTGATGATTGGTGACGTTGAGTACCTTTTCATATCTTTCGGCCATTTGCCTTTTTGGAATGAAGTCTGTTCATATGCTTTATCCTTTTTTAAATTGAATTATTTGAATTTTTTGTTATGGGGTTGTATGAGTTCTTCGTGTTTTGGATACTCATCCCTTATCAGACATAATTTACAAGTATTTCTCCTGTTATACAGGCCATCTTTTCAATCTGTTGATAATTTCCTTTGATGTCTAGATGATTTTTGGTTTGGTATATTCCTCCTTTATTTTTGCTTTTGTTCTCTATTTGAATGGTGTCATTTCCAAAAAATTATTGCCAAGATCAATGTCAAGGAGTTTTTCTCTCAATATTTTCTTGTAGTAGTTTCATATCTTACATATAAGTCTTCAGTCTGTTTCAAGTTACTTTACATATAGTCTGCGAACCAGGTTAAGTTTCATTCTATCTTGTGTTCAAATTAAGTTTTCTTTTTTATTTTTATTTATTTTTTTATTTTTTTATTTTTTTGGCAGAACCAGGGATTGAACTCAGGCCCTTGCGCTTGCCAGGAAAGCGCTTATTCTACTGAGCCATCTCCCTGGCCCCAAATTAAGTTTTCTTAATCCCATTTATTCAAGAATATTTCTAAATGGGGCTGTTTATTATCATTTTAAAATTATCCTTTCTTCCTTGTGCATTGTTGGCATCCTTGTAACAGATGAGTTGACCATATATATGTAATTTGATTTCTGGACTACTATATTCTGTTCCATTATCTTATATGTCTCTCTATATACCAGTGTTTTACAGTTTTGACCATTACAGCTTCCTAATATAATTTGAAATAGAAAAGGTAATGCCCCTTTGTGCTACCTAAAGATTGCTTTATCTCATCGGGATCTTTGTAGCTTTATGTGAATTTCACAAGTTTTTCTATGTGTACAAAGATTCCATTATCATTTGATAGAGAGTACATGAATCTATAGATTGTTCTGCATAGTGTGAGCATTTCAACAAACCTTTTAGTTCATTCGTATGTCATAGCTGATTGGTTATATCTACTTCTGTGTCTTTCATCAGTGTTGTGCATTTTTTAATACATAGATTTCAAGTCCTTAATTTATTTTTAATTATTCTTTTCTTGCTATTATGAATGTGACTTCTCTGTTGGCTATTTTTTTTTTCAGGTACTCTGTTGTTAGTCTATAGAAATGGTACATATTTTTGAATGTTGGTTTTATAACATGAAATTTTATTTTCTTATTCAAATGAATTGTTTGAATAACTTGCAGATTATATTTAGGGATTTTTGCCTTTTCAATTTTATGAATACTTTAAAACTGACATTTTAGACATGTTACAGTTGAAATTATATGCTGTTTTGTCTTTATCATTTCACACGTTTACTTTTTCATTGATTTCCAGTTAGTGGTATTTTTTTCTTAACATTGTTTTGCTAGTTTTAAATCTATTATGTGATTATTTTTCAATAAAAATATCTGCTAATGCAACAGAAGAACTCTGTTCTACTTTGGTGCATTTTATAAAGCAGCATCTTTCTGAATAACATTTGTATGTGTTTGTCCTATTTTGACAGATATTATGTTTACTTGTATGTGGTGCTGTTGTCAGTGTTGTCTTAGGCTTTTTATCCACCTCCTTTTTTTAGGCAGTATATATTGCACCCTTAAAAGCCTTAGTACGTGAAAGAATGGATGATTGGAAAGTTAGAATTGAAGAAAGACTTGGTAAAAGGTAAGTTTCTACCTTTATTCAAAAAGGATATGCTGTGACTAAAAGAACCAACCAATAAAAAGTTACATAAAAGTGTTGAATGTATTTCCATTGATTTTTAGAATCTTTTATTGAAAAACTATTACAAGTATTAAATATTATTGATATAACCGTTGTTTTAAGGTTAAAAATAAATTTTCTTTACACAGTGAATCCTTTTATTTTGCAAGATAACTTTTTCACATTGTAAAAGGTTATATCTGTATTTTATTTCATATTAGAGTAAATTTCAGAACCACTTAAAGGCCAATTTACATATAAATTATTTATTAGAAAATAAAAGCTTTTTGGATTCCCAGAATCAAAAGGGAAAGAAGAAAAGAGAGAGAAAAAGAAAGAAGATAAAAAAGAAAAAGAGAGAAAGAGATAAAGAGGTTTTTCTTCCTTTTTTTTTTTTTTTTTTTTGGTACTAGAATCAAAGCCAGGACCTTGTACTTGCAAGGCAGGCACTTATGCCACTGAGCTATATTTCTTACCTTAGAAGAAAAGATTTTTCAAGAAGATGCAGTTTATGTTGATTTTTAAAATGAATTTATTTAGTTATTTGATACAGAGTCTTGCTACGCAGCTTAGACTCTTAGGGATCCTCCTGTGTCAGCCTCCCTAGTGCTGCAATTAAAGGCATAAGCCACCATGTCTGGTTTCAATGGCTGGCACAGCAGGCTATCCCAAGAATCAAACCTAAGTCCTTGTACTTGCCAGGCAGGCTCTTAGCCTGCCAAGTTATCTCCCCAGCCCCTATGTTGATATTTTTAATGTATTAAGCATTACAGTGCTATTTTTATAACAAAATAATGCAGGTTATACACCTATCCATTAAGACAACATGGAGTAAATTATGTTACATTTATACAATATAAATTTTTTATAACTCTACAAAAGAATAAGCTTTTTGCAGTGTGGGCCCACGCCAGGGGCTTGCCGCGATGGCAATTGAGAGTGGGCGTGGTGGCGCATGCCTGTAATCCCAGCACTTGGGAGGCTGTAAACAGGAGAATCACTGTGAGTTCAATCTAGTAGTGAGACTGAACACCCTATAGACCCTTCCGTAAAATACAGAAAAATAATTTTTTTTAAAAAGAGTAAGCTTTTTATATACTGAATGAGCAATCTCCAAATATAATTAAGAAACAAATTTTCAACTATCTTATCTCTTCTTTTAAAAATAATAGAGAATGTGAATATGTAAATACATCAAAATGAAAACTAAATGGCTAATGGATACAAATGTTATGTAGACAATTTAATATGTATTTAAACCATATGGATAGATTATTCAGTTATTTATAAAACATTAAAAGTGAATAAAATAAAATGTTTGGGAATATTATTCTTAGAGGAATTATCTTGTCTGTTTTTCTATTTTCTGAATCAACACAAATGAGAAAATTGTTTAGTAGTTGTTCAGTAATTATTAGGATTGGAGTTAGTCTCCAGATTTTCTTACCTTCTGTCTAACTCTTCAGGACTCAAATTTTTTGCTTTTTGTTCTTTTTCACCAAAAGACTGAGTTCTCAGAAAAAGTAGCACATATTTGCCATATCTTATTTATATTTCAATATGCTTGCATTTGTCTATATTACCTTTGTAATATTTCAGTCTGATAAATGAAATGAAATTTACACAATTAAATTTGTAATGATTGCTTTCTTGTCTTAATAAGTTAATATTTTTTGATGAAAAATATTCCCCAATAAAACCAATCCAATATGTGAATGAGATATGATTTTAGTGCTACAAGTCATCTGCGACAAAGATGCCATAATTAAAATCAAAATTTGACATTATTTGCATATATTTATAAGTTAACTGTGTTAGGGTTTGAGTTTATATATTGTTCATTTTATGCCTAGAAATTATCTTACAATTCTTGAGATTCATGTTAGAAAGTTTTAGAAATCAAGAAGTATCTTTAAGCATTATTAAATTTTATTTTGAAAGAGATACATTTTTATTTCCTTAGAGTTATTGAACTCACTGGGGATGTCACTCCAGACATGAAATCCATTGCCCAGGCTGACCTCATTGTCACCACACCGGAGAAGTGGGATGGAGTCAGCAGAAGCTGGCAGAACAGAAATTACGTACAGCAAGTCACTATTCTTATCATAGATGAGATCCATCTGCTTGGTGGGTGCCACTAGCTGAGTCATTTAGGAATTTCAGCTTTCTTACTATTAGTTTTAATTGACAGATAATTGCATATGCTTCTGAGGTACAGTGTGATGCTTTGATACGTGTGTGTGTGTGTGTGTGTGTGTGTGTGTGTGTGTATACACAGAGTGGAATGATCAAATCAAGTTAATTGCCATAACTTATTACCTTTACTTGTTTATCATTGTTATCATGAGAGATTAAATATTCCCTCTGGGCCACTAGTGTTGAAATATACATTATTCTTATCATCATACTGTATTATAGTAAATCTCACAAATGTTTCTCCTGACTGAAAAATGTGTACTCTTTGGCTCTCTTCTTAAGCTCTCAGCTTCTAGTAACCACCATTCTACCCTCTATTTCCATGAATTTGACTTTTTTTCTTTCCATATATCTTTGCCTGCCTTTTTTCTGTTAATAGAATATCTTCCTTGTTTACACATATGGTTTCAAATGATAAGATTTCATTCTTTTTATTGTTTATACTATTTCATTGTGCGTATATTGATTTCCTTTTCTTGGCTATTGCAAATAATGCTGCAGTGAATGTGGGCGTATACAAGTCTCGTCAGCATATTGATTTCAGTTCTTTTGTATAGATACTCAAAAGTTGGATTGCTGGGACCATAAGGTTGTCCCAGTCTTAGCTTTTTGAGGAGCTTATGAACCTGACTTCATACCTTCAACAGGCAGCATATATTTGTTAAGTAATTATTAATATTTTTCCTTCTTAGGTGAAGAAAGAGGTCCTGTTCTTGAGGTCATTGTATCTCGCACAAATTTCATCTCATCACACACAGAGAAGCCTGTTAGGATAGTTGGGCTTTCTACTGCATTAGCTAATGCCAGAGACCTTGCTGACTGGCTCAATATTAAGCAGGTACGTGGAAGATTGATCAGGCAGGCATTTAGTAGTGTGGCTCAGGTGGACACATTAAGGAAGCATCGTAACATTATAAACAAATAGAAAAAAATGAAAATGGTTTCTTTCTGTTATTTACTCTAGATGGGCTTATTCAATTTCCGGCCGTCAGTACGCCCGGTTCCGCTGGAAGTTCATATTCAGGGCTTCCCAGGCCAACATTACTGTCCTCGCATGGCCAGTATGAACAAGCCTGCCTTTCAGGGTAAGCTGCAGATGCACGGAATGATATAGTAACCATGTTGTAGAGTGTATTCAGAAATGGTTTGATATTGTTTGAAATGGTGGTGCTGGTCCAGCTACAGCAAATACCTAAAGTGATTTACCTCAACTGTTAAGGAGTTAAAATACGTAGTATATTCCCTATCAAAAATTAGAGAGACCTCGTAGATGATAATGTAGTTATGCTAGATTAAAGCTATGTAATTTTAATAAGTAATCAAATAATTTGAAATGCTAATCTGTTCAGGTGCTTTCTCAAGATATTTCTAGCTTTAAAGTTAAACAGAAACTGTAAAACAGAAATTTTTACTTTTTTATAATACTTCATCACAAAATACTTTTGTGATTTTCTTCTTTTATAACAAATTAGATAAAGAATAACACTTCTACTTTATTAAAACATGTTTTGTTTAGACTGCATAGAGAATATTTTTCATTTCAATTTAAAATGACCTCCAAGATAAAATCGCTAATATGAACTGTTGTTGGTTGTGAGTTGACAGTTGTGAGGTGACTTTTTAGCTGCTGTAATTAGCCTTATGACAGAAGCAAAGTATTGATTGTGAACTAGAGACCAGTCTTGGCAGTTGAGCTTATTTACACCTCCACAGAAACATTGTACAAAATCACTAATGAACAATAAATTTGCTGTGAGCTGTTCAGCCACACCTGTTCTTATAGCAACAAAAATACATTAGATGTTGAGGCCTGAAAAAAGGCAGATCCATTCATGGTTGTATGTACAAATGATGCCATACTTTCATATTATGTGTGTTTTAAACATTTTATCTCTAATATGATTTACCGAAGATTTATTATTCTGGTGAATGGTGAGAGTAAGAAGTAAGATGAATGAATTTATTCTTCATAACATGTATTGTTGAAATAGCTTATATCTGTGTAAAAAATGGCTGCTTGCATACCACTATGGAAATGAAGATTTTGTGTTCTGTAAATCAATAGAAAACGAAATACTTTCACTTCTTAAGATATGATATAAAAAAGATATGGTATTAGCACAGTTGCTTTCCTTATAAACTATTTATTATGCCGCTAGTGATCACTGTATTTCTTTGAGTTTAGAAATATAATTTTATAAAACCTTTATTTTCACTCTTAGAGTATAATATAGTCAAAGTCATGTCAACATTTCCATTATAAATTTTATTTCTCACCCATGGAAAGAAATCTACAGCTCATGCTTTCAAACAGGAAATTACATTGAGGTTGAACGTTTTCATATACAATTTTAATAGGGGCCAGGGAGAAGGCTCAGTAGGATAAGCACTTCCCTGGCAAGCTCAAGGGGCTGAGTTCAATCCTTGGTTCCACCAAAAAAAAAAAAAAAAGTACAATTTTAACAGTAAAAATATAAATATAAATTTGACTTGTGCCATCATTTTGAAGCAAAGAATCCTTATTTCCATTTATGCCAATGATTTATTGTCTTCTTTTTTCTTGCATACATAATTTATAGTGTTTCCTCTATACTTGCTCCTCAGGATTCAGAGTGTTCATCTCATTTTCTGTATGTTGATTACAAATGTGTACCACCCCTCACATTCTCTTCAGATCAATCTTGCATTCTCTTGCCTTCTCCTTGAAACTTCACATGATTTTGGAATATCAGAGAGAAAGTGTCCTTGTGATCTATCTCTTACGTTTTCATTAGTCCAGTCTCTTACATTTTCCTTTTGGTGGCTAAATATAAGGAGAAAAATAAAGGGATTTGTGTGTGTGTGTATGTGTGTGTGTGTGTGAGATCTTTCTTGGACATTTTTCATAACCTTGCATGTCTCCACCTGACTCTTCAGATCTCAGGACCACTTGTGCTGTAATATTACTCCTTTTTTTTTTTTTTTTTTTTTTTGGCAGAACTGGGGATAGACTTCAGGCCCTTGCGCTTGCCAGGGAAGCGCTTATTCCACTGAGCCATCTCCCCGGCCCCAATATTACTCCTTAGAAAAGCAGAAATGTCTCCAAAATATAATGTGAGAATAGAAAGCATACCCTGTTTGTGCACAGACAGTGGAAAGCCTGAGCATTCAAGTTTCTCCTTGTTTGGCAGCTCAGGGTACAACTTGTATCTGACATAAATCTTCCCTGTCCTAGCACCTGACTGCCTAAGTAGAGCTATAACCTCTGCCTTTGTGCGGTCTCTCCAGTGTGCTGTCAGATCTGTGTAGTAATACTAAATAATATTATATTTTATGACCAAATTAAAAGTTCAACAAAATAATTTGCATTAGTTTTCATGCATCCATTTGTTATCTTAATTAAATTCATATCCTGGTGTTAAGTGGCTTACCATTTCATTTTCCACAACTTTTAAACAGCAATTAGAAGTCATTCTCCAGCCAAACCTGTTTTGATATTTGTCTCTTCAAGACGTCAAACTCGACTTACTGCTTTGGAATTAATAGCCTTTCTGGCTACTGAGGAAGATCCAAAGCAGTGGTTAAATATGGATGAAAGAGAGGTAAATAACATATTTTGTTTTCTTTTTATATCTGTCGAATTACTTTATGTTATAATAGAATGTGCACAATTAGTATGTAGTTTTACCCTATGAAAATGTAAAATCTGAAAAAATAATAGATGTAATATTTATTGCTAACCTAACATTATTCATATTCTGATGCGTTTGCTTCCAGCATTTTCCCACTAAACATTTAATTAAAAATCCATACTTAGAATTTTCCCTTTAGCATTTTCACTGTGTATATTTTATAGTAAAGGTTTCATAATTTTAATGTAAATTTTATTTTTTTATTTTTTATATGTTAGGGAAGGTCTACAAGGTGTTCAGGGTCTCACTACTAGATCGGACTTGTAGTGATCCACCTGTTTACAGCCTCCCAAGTGCTGGGATTACAGACATGTGCCACCATGCCCAGTCTCAATTGCCATCTCAGTGCACCCCAGGGGAAGGGCCAGCATGGCAGGCCCAGTTATCGAACCCCTCCCTGGCCCATGTGCCTGCTTGCAGGCACTTTAATCCACTGAGCTATTTGGCCAGGCCTAAAATTATTTAAAATTAGAAAACGTTATTCCATTTTCCTATAATTAAATAATTGTGCATCTTTAATATAGATTTTTTATTTTTTGGAATTATTTTTTCTGTATAGAGTTCCAAAAATAAAATTAGCAGGACAAGTAATATAATCTTTATATTATAGCTTTTTGTAAGGACTGCTAATTCGTTTCCAAGAAGGATGTACTAACATGTTCACACCATCATCAGTATGTGAATTACCAGTGGTATAGGACAGTGGTAATTTTCTCCATTTGTTGTAATTTATTGATATTGATAAAATGTAATCTATTGTTTTAGCATATACTTTGTTCTTAATGATTTTTTTCATACATTTGATGCTAATTAATCCTTTTTCTTTGTTGGCTGTTTTCTTTGATCTTTAATTTCAATTCATTTATTTTGCAGATTTGTATGACAAAATAAATGTTAGACACCACAGATATATAAAATTTCATTTTATAAATAAGTTAGTATACATATATTAGTCATCTACTCTATTTTTAATTTACTGTTTATCTTGTTTATCATCATATCTTTTAATGAACTTTTGCATTTTATATTACATAATGTGATATTTCATTTCCTCTACTACTTCTAAATGCAGTACTCCTTTTCTGTTTTGTAGATTTAAGAGGCAGTGATTTTCATTTTTTGCAGTTCTGAAACCATATTTTCCTATGTGGAATTGTGATGAAAAAGATGAAATTGATAGCATAAAACATTGTCATCTCCTTCTCTTTTTTGTCCCTGTCCTCCCTTTCAATCTGAAGAACAGAGTTACTCAACTTCAGTAAAAAACAATATTCCAACCTCACTAACATCTAGACTTGATATTTTGCATATTTCTCCTTTCTGTTTCTTGTAATTCGTTAATGGTTAGTAAGTCTGTTGGATAGTATTATGACTATTAGTACACAATAGTTACCTGAGATTTCACACTATTTTCTTTAATTGTACAGATGACCTTATTTACTAGCAGACCCAAACATTACCTTAATGTAAAGGGTATCAAATTTACTTTCTACTTGAAGTAAAATAAAAGCAATAACTTTTTTCTTTAAAATTTTATTGTTTATCTTGTTATTTGTATATGTTTATCAAATATTTCTTCTGGTTAATAACTTAATGTCAAAACACTTTATCAAAAGATGTTTTGCCTTGTGTTAAATTGATTATGCTGTTATGTCTAAGGCAGTATCATAGTTAAGGAGACAAACACAAAAAAAAAGATATATAAGATATTGATGACTTAGTTTATGTGCAGCACTGCTCTATATTTAATTTGAGTTCTCTCATGCTTTAGCCCTAGAAGTGTTCCAAGTGGAATCTGCTCTTTGAAGTCAGGTACAAAGTCCATACCTACTGAACACATTTGAGATGTTCGTGCAAAGTGTATGGGCACTGTGCATTTGACACATATGTGACTCACATGAACTTCAAATGGGAACCTCATGTGTTCCTCCCTGTTGTAGTACACTTTTAGTATTTTTATTAATTTGGATGACCCAGGATGTAAGTAACTCAGCCATACTTCTCAGAAGTAGAATTACTTGCTAGCAGAACCCATATAACTTACTTATACAGATTTTGGAGATTTTCACTGTTAATAATGAGATAGAAATTATGCAATTTCCAGACATTTTACCTGTTACATCTCAAGAGAAAGACAGTGCATGGTTTGTGTTGTTACTGCCTCTTAAAGCAACCATTTTTAAACGAAAGTTTCAGAGTGTGCATTGTATTACTATGTAAATCCATTCTTGCTGTACCTATTCTGCTTACAATGTAGATGTTTCACTTGTTGATCCCCTAAGTAGTTGGCTTAAAATAGACTGCCTAGCCTCTTAATATTCTGTGGGGTACTTTTCACAATACTCTGGACTAGAATACAAATGGTTTCTCCTGCTGCTGCAGCTTGTACAGTGTTATGTTGGTGTTCTGTGGCAGGATGTGGGATACCAGGTGGAAATAAGAGTATTGACAGCTCCAGCTTTTACGGGAGACGATAGTTATGCTCACAGCAATGCCACAGTGTATCTGAGATGCAGGAGAGCATCCCGATCATTTTGCAATCAAAAAACCTTAATTCAGGAATTAGCTCAATATATTTAGGGGAAAGAAAAGGAAAAAATTAATGAGAAGAGCATGGACAGAAACTGTGATGAGGATGCATATACAGTAAGACCTTACTTATAAGCCTAATTCTTTCCAGAAACATGCTTGTAATCCAGGCACTTTTGTATTAAAGCAGATTCCCCCTTAAGAAATTATAGAAATGCAGATGATTCATTCCACAACTCAAAAAATATTCACATAAAAATGAGTTTGATACTATATTGTAATACAAAATAACAAAGAAAATGCAAAACATAAAGCAAAATTATTTGACCTGCACTTTGAAAACCTTCATGACTGGTGTGACAGAGGGATGAAGGAGGATGGTTATTGTCTAGGGCAACTTTCACTTTCAGTAGTGAAATCACTGCTTTCTACTGGCTCAGTGGACTGTTTTTTTATACAGCTTTAACATGGGAGCTATCTATCCAATAACACTTGCTTTTGCTTCCTTTTGAAAATTCTGCAGGAATATCACAGTACATTGTCATTAAACAGATTCTTAGCTTTCACTGCTACCGCATTCTTTGGTGCTTTTCTACAGAATTTGCACCTTTTTCCACTTTTTGTGCATCTTCCTAATCTCATTTGAACTGAAGGATTCTTTGGCGTTTTTCCCCTCTTCCTCTGCAGATGCAATCATTGTAATTTTTTGCTGCTGGGAGACGACAATCCCAATCTCACAGCGAGAGAGAGAACCATTGACTCAGTTGTGAGCATGTGGCATTTGACATCATGTATTACATTGCGAGTAAAATTAAGTTAAAATTTTTTAGAAATGTTTACTCATCTTGTGTAACACTCACAGAAAAAGTTACTGGTAACCCAAGGATTTACCGTAAATACGCTATTGCTTAGCAAAGACAAGAGTTATTCATGTCTTCTTACTCCAGTATTTTTCTAAAGTTTTAGCCAGTAAAAAGACACTTTCATGTACTATATATCACTGATATAAAAATCATCTGTCTGAAGAAAACCATAAAGAACACCTTTCTGTATTTGCCATTTGGAAGCCTTGCCATGACTTTAGAAGTTCATGGATATGTGCTGTTTTGTCATTTAGATTCTCACTTTGAAGCTACCACTTCTTTCATTAACCTCAGACTCTTTCTGGGTCTTTTTGTTATTCCCTCAGGCATCAAGTTGAAACAGTCTGAATGTCTGAAGCTTTTAGGCCTTCATCCATAAAACACAGTATCTTTAGCTGGCTTCTATTGTAGGAGGTGATATGCTGAAAATGGCTCTTGACAGGCAGCAAAGCTCCAATGTAGACCTTTCACTGACCATTAGTTTATTCATACACTAATTTCTCCACAACACTTTAATAAAAGGGTTTCCTCCTAATGTGTGTTTTCCTTCTTATAACCCAAATTCACTCTGTAAATTCATCTGTCTACAAAGAAAGACAACTCTTAAAAACTATTATTGATTCTCTGAACCACTTAGTCCAGGATCCCTTGTTTTGAACACTCTGGCTCTTTCATTTTTTCATCTCAGTTATCTATAGCTGATGTAGTGGTTAGAGTGAGTTTCAACTTGTTTGGGGTCCACCCCAAGGGTTGGTGGCACACACCTGTATGTATGGTGGGTGGGCCACAGACAGATGGCTTTTAGGTCTGGTCTCGATCCCCTCCACTATGGCACTGTTCCTCCATTCTGTGTTCCTGCTGCCATGAACTGAGCAACTGTGCTGCTCCATGCTCTTCTCCCATGATGTCTCAGAGCCTTCCAGGCATGTCCTGTATTGTGAGCTGAACCTTCCTGTAAGTTGTGGGTGTTGGTACTGTGTCTCAGTGAAAGCAACGAGAGCCTCAGTTGCCCATGTGACTGTTTTTAGCGAATTGTTTCCATGGAAATTATTAATCTATAGATAGTAATAATGTAAACTAATGAAGGTAGAGTTATAGAGAAGTGAAACAGACTTTTTTACTGCTGTGATTTAAAAGGTATCCACAAATCTTGACCACTTGATTCTTGGATTGTGTATTCTGGCTGTAGAAAAAATAATTTGATGATTTCTAGTCACTACATCCCATGGCATCTGTTTGTTGCCTTATTTTTTTCTTAATGAAATGAGTTCATTGGTCAGTAGCATTATTGCACAGCATATTGTGATGGTGGGTAAGGCTTTTCATAAGTATCTTCTGAGCAGAAAACTGAGGAAATGTGGAACCAAACATATCAAGGGAGTATTCAGTGATGTGAAAAGGCTTTAAACTAGGCAACTGCCATAATCTTATTTATATTCTAAGATCATTTTGTTATCATAAAAAATAAATTAAAGGTGTGGACGTAATGGTGGTGGTGAGATGGGAGCTGGATAAGTT